CCTCTCCCTCTCTCCACTCCCGCAAAGATGTGCTAACTTTAGTCTTCACTTCCACTCTCTCACACATACAGACTCTCTCTCTCTCTCTTCTCTAATAATATACATGACTTTACTTTTGCTTCTTTTTTGTCTGCCGTCTCTCAAACGGAAGCAAATTTAGGAATTCATGTCTAAAAACCAAATCCGTATTCATTCTAAATATACATATATTTCAGTCATTTTTCATTAAATTCTCAAAATTTTTGCTCTATTTGTGGAAATTCATTAAATAATGGCACAATTAATTCATTGCTTTGTTTGGATTCCCTATCGATTATAAACACACTATCGAAATATAGTGAGGGAGGAGTGGAGGGGAGACTCCGACTGGATGTTAGAATTATTTTTTAAATACTTCCATAACATAACGTCAATCGTATCGAAAGGAAAGACCTATTTTTTTAGAAACACAAATTCCTGTTCCTTTCCAAATGCGAGAACTCCCTTACGCTTGAAGTTGTAGTTTATATTCAATTTTGTTTTCGTTTAGTCCAATACACACAACACCCGCAGCCCTCCTATGCCTGTATGTTATATGGCGTATGAGTCCATTGTCTGGCGAGAGGGCAGAGAGCATAGTATGGAGAGTGCGGTCATATTGTAGGTCAGGGTCAGCACAACAGCACTACTTGTCCTAAAAAATTCCTTTTCAATACTGAAGTTGTTTTCGGGTTTTTTCTCTTGTGCTTAAACTTCATAAGCGATTCTCTGATTGTGTTAAGGCTTTGCTCTAAAACTACATTCAAATGAGCGTATCATTGATTTTTAGCATTGATTTAACATAAAGTGAAGCGAATTCTTATAAAACTTGAACTTAATTTAACAGTTAATAGCAGTTTTCATTACTTTTCATACATTTCTCTAAATTAACCGTTAATATTATAATTCCTTCACAATATCTATGCGTCCAATCGTTTACAATAACTACTCCCTGAGTGTCAGCCCTGACCTCATTATAGAAACGGCGCTAAATATTTTTTTAGACAACATCTTCAATAATATGTTTGTTAAAAATATGGCCATAAATATAACAACAATAACTGAAAAGTGAAATTTGTTAGCCTTATTTCGCCGACTCTGACCCACTTTCAAACCTCCCTCTCCTCTCCCTCTCTCCACTCCCGCAAAGATGTGCTAACTTTAGTCTTCACTTCCACTCTCTCACACATACAGACACACTCTCTCTCTCTCCCTCTCCCGCAAACTCCCTGTGTTTGTTGGACTTGGCGTTTATAATAGCACACAATCCATAGCATTGAGACTTTAAATAACTACTAAAATGTATTTCCAGTTATAAAAATTACACCAATTGTTGAAAAGTGACTGAAAATATAGTTAACATTAGGCCTAACATTGGCTGCACTGGCGATACCCTGACCTACTTGTAAAGGAGATGCTTATGTCATTGAACGACACGATTGCTCTCTCTGTTAGACCTTAGCCTTGAATACATTGAATGTATGGCTAATACACACCACTATTCCTATCACTGCTGTTCAATGTTTCCCAAAGACTTTTTCTCTCTCCTAACCACTCGACTAAAGCTTCCAATGCTTTCGACACAACAGTATTGAACAAACTTTGCTCACAAACAGTCGTCTTATTTCGATTTTCACTTCACTTTCTAACCATTGCTTTCGTTTTTATATTTCTTTGAGTTTAAAAGTCTTGTTTCGATAAGTTTTTGCATAGTTTTAAAGTAGTTGTGAATTATAAAGTGTAATATCATTTGCTGTGCGCTTTCTATTCCCACAAACTTCAGTGAATTTTGTACTAAATTTGTGTTTTTTTGTATCCATTTGTTTGCATACGTGTGCAGATCGGCCCGGATTACGGAATACAGATTTGGTGCATAAGATTAACAGAAAACTGGATGATGTGCTCCAGAAGGCGATCTCGTCATCACATCCCGAGAATCCCAATCTATTCAACGAATTGAAGAAAAAGATTCCCGATTTGAAAACACTTAATACACTTCATTCAGAGAAACTGTTGGCCTATAAGATGGAGCCGAGGAATGGCCAGACGGACGGCCAGAACGGCGAGAGCGCACAGAATGTGTGCAATTACTCCAATCTGTTTCCCGAACAGTGGACTCAGTTGGCAATGATTGGCGCTTCCAATCATCCAAACAAACATTTGGACGAAGAGATGAGCACTGGATCGCCAGCTCAGGCCAGTCATCACGACTGGAGCGGTTCCGACTCCAAGGATGGCAATGAGGGCTCTTTCGGAAGCCCGCGATCTATCAGTAGTAACGGAATGTCGACCGACGAGTCGCTCATGAGATCCAACTCGATCTCCAGTGCCAACAGTCTGTACCACTCGTCTCGACTCCAAACCCCGTATCACATAAACCGGTGCCCAAAGATGGCCAGCGCTTCGCTGTCGAGCACTTCCGACGAACACCACAACGGTTTGGCCAACTCTGACGACTGCTATTATCGTATCGATAGTCAGCTGAAGAATCAGTTGACGGCCGGTATGACTGCGATCGGCAACAGTGGCGCCAATTATAACAAAATACGTCGCGTCGACTCACCGACCGATTCGGGCATCGAGTCCGGCAAAGAACACGGCAACGGTTCCACTCCGACCACATCCGTGTGCTCTAGTCCTCGATCGGCAATGGATGATAAGGTGAAGGATGTGAGCGATTCCGAGTCCAACGAGAAGCACGAGTCCATTGACGACATGCCAATGTTGAAGCGGGCTCTTCAGGCACCGCCTCTCGTCAACACCAATAAACTCATGGATGAGGCCTATCGTCACCACAAGAAGTTCCGCGCCGCCCAACGCAAGGACGAGCCCCACAGCCCTTCCACCACCACATCCATCGCTCCGTCGAACCCTATCCAGGAATCGCTGGCAACTTCTCACTCAACTCTTCTCAAGACGTTGGAACAGCCGTCGAGATATATGAATGAGCAACAGCTCAAGCGAACCGATTTGATTCACAATATCATTATGAGGACAGAGGCCGCGTCGACCACCACTTCCTCCTCCAACTGGAAGTCTGGCCGACATTCAGAGATGTCGTCCACTGGCGGACACTTAGCCCAGAGTCTGACGAACGGAAACTATATGTATCCCAACGTTTCCCAAATGAGTGCAAACCATGTGACCAGTAATGGCCACTCGACAGTGCAGTCCCTGTTATCGGGCGGACATCAGCAGCAGTCGAAGGGCGTAGTGGTGTGTCCTCCGGGTCTCTACATTCCGTCGGGGTATCCGTCGTCCAACTCGTGTCCCTATTCGAGAACAGCTAAACCGTTGTCATCGATGATGTCATCGACAACAGCACAACAGACACCACAACAGCCATCAAGAATTGTTTATTCAAACTCATTGGAAGCACAGCATCACCACAACAGCCACAATAACAACGCTTACGTACAACACAACCGTCGATCTCCGTCGTCGACCTCATCGGCCGCAGCACTAGTCATGGGCTCAACGCCTTCTCCATCGCAAGGGTCGGCCCAACACATGCCTCGAATGGGCTGCGGATCGGAACCGTCGATCACTGCAATACTACTCTCACAGAGCGGTAACGATTGCGCCGACACTCAGCCCCTGAACCTGTCGAAGAAGCCGTCGCCACCAAACTCTCCCACCGCTGCGAATGCCATCAAAATTGAATCATAAGATATATATCATTCATATATACGCGCGACTATATCCTCCCTTTTGCTGATATCCCGTTTTTCTATTCACACATTCAAATAATTGGATTCAATTCAATACATGTAACAAAACATTTGTGCTTTTTATCGGTTCCCTATTCCTCAGCAATGGACGGATGAGATGATGGTCTGCTCTAAACATAACATTTAATATTAATAATTATTATAATGAATATTGATATTACTATGATTATAATTATTATCATTGTTTTCACATATACTATGCTTACGATTCGGCGAGTCGTGTGTATATCCATGAGAATCATATTTTCAAAACACAAAAACAAATTATATCTTAATCTGTATATAAAATTCAATACAATTTATTATGAATCAGAAATATTATTATTATTATCTGTTGAATGCCCTAAAAGTTGGAGACAAATGATTAGAAGATTTTTTTGTTAGAAGTTTTGTAATTGTAATGTAAATGAGAAAAAAATAATATATAATATAATTACTATTGTATGAGTAGTCGCTTGTGGTTAATGTTCTCTCAATTTATTTCGATTGTTCCCCACATTTTCAAACACATTAAATACAAACTGTTTTTCAAAGGTTTTCATTCATATATTTGTTTAAATAAAACAAATATTGGTTTAATTTATTAATTTATATATATATTTAATTATATCAAACATTTTTAATTACTATTGATATATAGTTATATCGCTTTACAGACACTGAGATACAGAGAAATATATAAAATTATAGATATCTATAATCGGTCTAAAATCCAATGACAATTAAATTGTGTGCGGATTTTAACTGCAAATATATTATATATATAAATGTATACAATATATCGGTTTCTGAATACTTTCAAATCTAATAACTTATTTCAGCCAACACTTGAGTAAAGGGATGTCAGGGTTTTCAATAAGTATACTGTAATTATTATTGAGATTTGGTTTTCCTATAAATACGAGTACTTCTGAACTCTCTTTAATTGAACTGTATATTAGAGGTTAGGTTTGGGAATGAGAATAATTTGGGAACAAATTTTTTTTGAATACAACAAATGTTTTTGAAGAAAAATTAAAATTATTTAAAATGAATTGAAAAATAATTATATGATATAATAATATATTATATATGTATACAGAAATTCGGTGAAAAATTAATGAATGAAATGTTTTTACTGTATAATTGTTTATTGATTTGTTTTTGAAAAATTATGTCAAATAATGTTAAATATTAATAATAATTACATATTAAAAACAATTTTATTGGAAAATTTGGCCATAAATAAGATTTTTTGTTTTCGGTGTCTAATATCATAATGGATTTGATAAACGATATAATGGTTGACAATCAGTGATCGGTTAAAATGCAGACAACAATTGATTTAATACATGAATTATTAGATTTATCCGAAAAACCATTATATTGTTAATAAAAACACAAATATATATAAATATATATGAAAACCATATTATTGTATGCAGTAATGCATTGATTTGTAAAACAAATATATAATTTATATTAGAAACAACCAATCGTTTTATTGAGTTTTTATTAATTTTAATATAAGATTATTAGTTATAATAAGTGACAATAAAACCCAAACCACTGTTTTTTGAGTTTTGAAAATTAAAATAAAGGTTTATTTAAATGACAAACAAATATCAGCTCTGAATGAGTTTGTGATCCACTTATTTGGCGCTATAATTATGATTATACAGTAAAATACAAGTTATTGTCTGTCAAAACAAATGTAGAATTTATTACTTTCAACAAATAAAATAAAATATTTATAAAATAATTTATCAAAATTGTTGTCTAATTATTTATTCACGAAATGGCTTTTTTGGCTCAATGTTTTTGCAATGGATTTTTAACACAGAATTTCAAATTACAATTTGCTTTCATTAAGCGTTCAATTAATATGAGAAACGAGTAAATGAAAGGAAAATATAAAGTTATTGAAAATGCAATGAGAATGTAAGTGAAGGTCTAATCCGTTTTTCTCATATCAAACTCTAATTATATTCATATCCTATAAATGAAATAAAAATAAAGAAATTACTTGTTTTGTTTGACATATAAAATATATATATTTACACAAATCAGTTAACATTTAGATTATTTCCTAGTTTTTCGGAATTACTTTTTCATGAATTTCTAATTAATTAGTTCATGAAGAATGTCACCAATTATTGCAATCCAAACACAGTTTGTGTTTTGTTTGTCATAAACATTCATTTTAATGGTTAAAATACATACAGC